TTCATTTTTAATGTGTTGTATACATACATTAATAAATAATAGTAATATATAATATTTATGAAAGACAAAACATATTTGTGTATTATATATTGAAATTCAATTTAAAGACACCAATCTTAAATGTTTATAGCAATATGAAGTTTCAGTTTGCTATAGAAAGAACAAAATATTCAAAAAATGTCCATTATTATGCCTTATATCATACTCAATGATTATCCCACATGTATGTCTGCCAAAAGCTAATATTATTTGTTTACAGGCTGGCTAGACATAGAAACATTTGAGCCGAAACTCTTTTGGTGGGCAAAACTCCGTTTAAAGTGCCTTCAGGGAATAGACGGCAAAAGCCTTGTGCGTCTGCCACGTCAATTTCGTGCTCGAATAAAGTTGAAAAGTGAAATTTGGCAGCCAGGAATAGCAACTCAACCTAATCGAGCCCAGGCGAACCCAACCCAACCCACGCCGACCTGGCAAAAAGTTTTGAAGAAATTGCCAAACGCAACCAGTGGAAATAAAATGCAAATGGAAACTGGAAACTGGCGCAGTTTAAGATTTAACCCATCATTGGCCTCTGGACAGTGCACAAATTGAAATTCAGGTAACGTCCGAATGCTAGGCACAATAGACTGCACATAAATGCGTAACTTGGCCAAAACGAGCGCCCAGTTCGACTGCAATTTGTCCACTTGATGTGGCGGCCATCAAGATTAGCCACAGCTGACAATTTGTGTGGTCAACTGGCGGCACTTTATGAACTTATCGCCATTCGAATGAAATGGCCAAATGGCCAACAAACAAGTCGACAAACAATTTGATTTGCTCTTAATTGCTGGACATGGCTGAAAGCAATTACGCTTAGATTTATGAACGCAATTTAGTGGTCAGCAATTTTATTCGAAATTACCAACCCAAAAAAAAAAAGAAATTAAATAAAATAAAAAAAAAACAAGAAAAACGCAGAGCTACTGTACTGTATCGCGATATGATAGAGGCTTAAGATAAATTTTATTTAGTCGTGAGTAACATAAAACTTGATCCTTTGGTGGGCAACTAACTTAATTTATATTAGAGATAGCCCCATAAGTCTTAAAGAGGGCTTGAAAGACAATTTATGAGGACTTTGTGACTTATTTTATTTGTAATATAAAACTAAACTATATTTATCTCAGCAATATCAGAGGCTTGGGATGTACAAATTTGAAAAGGAATTTTATTCCGTTTAATGAGCATTGAACAGAATATACACAATGTTTTAATAATTATTATATATGTATTAAATTTTATTAT